TCCCCACCCCCACCAACACCCCCTTACCATAATCATCACCGCTGCTGCCAAGGTCTCCACCAGGCCTCTGCAGCCACGACCTGTAGAAAGTGAAATTGTCTGCCCTTTGCAAAGATGGCAGCTATGGCTTCATTTAGGATTGGAAAGCTGCAGCTGCCATCTTTGCAAAGGGCAGCCTGGATTCCCTTAAGGCAGGCTAAGGGGGGTTGGCAGCGGGGTGGTGGCAGTGGCAATGGGGTGGTTTTTTTAAATAACCCCCCATGAATCGATGAATAAATTTGTTATTTGTTGGTTCACGGGACAACTTTGTGCTTCGCGAGTCGTCAGCTTTTGATGACTCACAAAGCGGGACAACTTGCGAAAATGCTAAATCGTCCCCATCTCTAATTAGTATTAGGTAAATGTACCTTTCTTCTGACATTTCCTTATGTTTTTTTTTCAAAATCATGCCAGAAGTTGTTATTTCAAAGAAATCATTTCCTTTTAAAACATATGTAAAAGTAAAGTGTACCAGTATGACACGATAGGCCTTTTTCATGTCTTCACAGTTTCTGGAGAGCTGAGAAAAGTCTTTTTCATATTTTTGAATCAGGTCCTGGGGGAACAGAAAAGGAACAAATCTAGAATTACACACCACACAGGGTCTTGCGCCACCTTTAAACCTAAAAGATATATTGTGTTATCATTCACATGCTGGAGAAACCCCACTTGAACAGCTACATGCAGTACTAAGACTCAGCTGAAAGATATTCTGATAGACTGAAAACAGACTAACACATCTATTTCCTTGGAAAATGGCAGTTTGGAATTAGTGAAAGATCACAGTATTAACGGACCATTCGTTGATAATAAAACATTTCTTTTTTCTATCAGTAATTCTTGTGCCTGTCAAGAGAAGCTCAAAAATATTTCCCCTTCACTGTAGTCCACATAAAGAAAAGGTGGACAAATTGAATTTCTGCCTGTGAAAGGGATGAGGTCTTACTAAAATGAGTGACAAGACTTTGATAGTGTAAAAGTAAGATCCATCTCTCACATGAGACCTGAAAGAAGGGGATAGAAACCTTTACCCTTTCACAATCCACAGCATTTCTCCAACCATTTCTGCCCAGAGCTTGGCAAAATTATTGTATGCAACTACGACTTCCCGAGTCCCCCAGATAGCAAGACCAAATTCTGGGAAAATCTAGAAACTCTAACCAGCCACATTAGCTTTTCTACATTCTGTCCCTTATCATTGGCTGTCACGGAAGGAAGCCTTGGGTTCTACAACATGTGGACATCTCCCTTATTGTAAACTTGCCTCCTGGGCCACACATTATTCTTATTCTTATTCTTATTCTTATTCTTATTCTTATTCTTATTCTTATTCTTATTCTTATTCTTATTCTTATTATTCAGAGAAAAACCCAACTTATCCCACCATCTTTCAATCAGTATTTGTCCTGAGGGTACACATCTCAGCAGCAGAGCACATCTTTTACATTCAGATGCTCTCTGGTTCATCCTCAATATCTCCAGGTGAGTGTGTAAAATGTTGTGTCCTAAAGCCCTGGAAAACAAACAGTATGATGCTATGGATAGTGTCAGACTATGTTTCAGAAGACCCGGGTTCAAGTCCCTGCTTGGCCACAGGAACTCACTGGAGGTGGCAGTGGTAAAACCCCTCCTTAAATATCTTACACACCTTGAAACCCCTTTTAGGGGCTCCATAACTTGAATACAGCTTAGTAAAGCAACATCAAAACCCTAGTGAATCAGTGCACGTTTGTGTTGAAAATCCTGGCCTGATTCATTGTAAGTAGGTCGCTTTTTATGTTCCAGTGGAAAGCAAATAGCTTCTATCCTGGATTTTTGTAAAAGTGACTTTGTTGTTATGTGCCATCAAGTTGCCCCAGACTTATGGCAACCCCATGAATGTCTATAATGTCCTGTCTTAAAGTGCCCTACTCAGTTCTTCTAAACACAAGCCTGTGGCTTCCTTTAAGGAATCAGCCCATCGCATATTTGGTCTTCCTCTTTTCCTGATGCCCTCCAGCTTTCTCAGCATTTTTGTCTTTTCCAGAGAATCCTGCCTTCTCAGGATGTGCCCAAAGTAGGGCCGCCTCAGTTTCAACATCCTAATTTGTTCATAAGCGACCACAGCTTCATAATTCTAATTCTTAATTAGATAATAATTTTGTGGTGCACCTTTCCCACCTTCCCTATTAATTATTGTAATCCCTCTTTTCAAAATGAGAGTGAATTCTTCTAGGCAGTTAACAACATGTCATCCAGCAGCTCATTTGTGGTTCATGCTGTCATGCTAACAGAAATACAGTGCAGTCAAGAGTATATGAGGGTGTGAATCACCAGCAACCTTGATGTGGAGGATGCAGAGCTGGAGGTACTTGACAAGAAACACGAAGAAAATATTCCTCATTTTCTATAGATACTTCTGCATTCTGTCAACACTTTCACATTACTGCCTTTCCCACTAATCACCACTATAGGAGAAGTTCGATGCAGTACTTCTGAGAGAACATCCATGGAACTTTTTCCATTGGTGATAAAATTGTTTATTTCCAGTTCCTTATTTACACAAAGCTTTACAACACATCAAGGGATGTGGTGGCGCTGCGGGCTAAACCACAGAAGCCTGTGCTGCAGGGTCAGAAGACCAAGCAGTCGTAAGATCGAATCCACGCGACGGAGTGAGCTCCCGTCACTTGTCCCAGCTCCCGCCAACCTAGCGGTTCGAAAGCATGCAAATGCAAGTAGATAAATAGGGACCACTTTGGTGGGAAGGTAACAGCATTCCGTGTCTAAGTTGCACTGGCCATGTGACCACGGAAGATTGTCTTCGGACAAAACGCTGGCTCTATGGCTTGGAAACGGGGATGAGCACCGCACCCTAGAATCGAACACGACTGGACAAAAATTGTCAAGGAGAACCTTTGCCTTTACCTTACAACACATCATTAATTTGGAAAAGGACCTGAAATGTATATGCTCTCAAAACTAAGCTGATATGTATTCCATATTGCCTACTGCCATGGTCAGGAAACTATCCCCCTCAATATACAAAATAGTATATTTCACCCTCTGGAGTCATTTTTGGGGAAAGTACAAAACTGTGTGATGAGCAAAAATGACAATCAGAAACATCCTAAAATTAGGTTTGCATCCTAAAATAAGCTGTGGGCCATGGAAGTACAGGCCTTTCTCAGCTCCACATTTCAGCTCTTCTTTTTGAAGTCTCACACAAATTAGAAACAAGGAACAACTTCAGCAACATCTTCCATCAGCAGACCTGGAAATACAGAAATCCCCATTCTACCTTGTACCCCTCTACACTCAGAGAATTGGTTGACACTGCACAGCAGTTTTTCAGAAAAGGTCTTTGTTGGGTGGGCAGGTGTGATAATATTCTTTCTTCTGCCACTGAAACAGTTTTGAGCAAATGTCTTCTACCCCTGCATCTAAAATCCCTCTCTTCAATTCCATCTATGAAATTTCACACACAATACACTACTTTAAATACATTCCTGTTCAACATTACCTTTAAATCTTTGTAGAACCTGGACTCCAGAGTTCCCACCTTGGCAACTTTGGATTTGATTTGTTTTCTGCACTCAGCAATACTTTCCAATTCTTTCCGTAAAACTAATCACAAAGTGGAAAAGAAGGAGATTAGACCTTTTGCTTATTACAGTTTTAAATTCATTCATTCTGATGATCCAAAGCCCTGATTCAAAGTCATTCTCTTACACACCAGTTATCAAATATGCACACTTTCTGTTGGTCATGGAATTTGATCATTGATGCAGTAAAGATAATTCACAGAACCAGTCTTGCAATCACAAATTCAAGCGAAAGCTGGTTAATGGAAGCCTAAAGCAAAACACAAGAAACTGGTACATTCACTGATGATGGAAATCCAAATGAGAGACAAGTCTCAGGATTCAACCACAAATTCAAGTGAAAGCTGGTTAATGGAAGCCTTAAGCAAAACACAAGAAACTAGTACATTCACTGATGACAGAAATCCAAATGAGAGACAAGTCTCAGGATGTACAGAATAAGTTGTTAAGTCATAACATTAAAACACAACTCAACAAATTAATTATGTTAGTAACACACAATTGAATTAAATGAGATTTTAAAAGACATCCGATAGAAAGTATAATACCAATATATGTATATAGAAATCATAGAAAATTGAAGTTGGAAGGGGCCTACAAGGCCATCAAGTCTAACCCCTGCTCAATGCAGGAATACAATCAAAGCATATCTGCCAGGTGATTATCCAAGTTTGGTAGACTATATCCTTTGTAAACCACCCAGAATAGTGCTTTGGCAATAATGGGGTCTTAAAGAAACAAACAAACATTGTAATCTGACATTCCCTGGTCGTTCTGTGCCTTTCACTACCTGGTCTGTCAGCAACCCATCAAAGTCTTATTAAGAGTCTATCAGTAGAAGACTCCCTATTGTGCGCAACTGATGAGCAGAGCAAGAGGAATGCCCTCCTTCAAAATTTTGGGATGAGACACATAAATACACTCCAATTATGTGGTGCCCTTGTCTTTACATCAGTCTTACATCATCTTTTTATTACCCTGTTCCCCCCCCCAAAATAAGACCTAACCTAAAAATAAGCCCTAGTATGATTTTTCAGGATGCTCATAATATAAGCCCTACCTCCCAAAAAAGCCTCAGTTCAGTGAAACCCCACCCTCCACTCTTGTGCCGTAACCAGAAGAATATCACATGACTGTATTTGAATAAATGCAGAGTGTTGTACATGAAAAAATAAAACATCCCCTGAAATGTCTTAATGCATTTTTGGAGCAAAAATTAATATAAGACCCTGTCATATTTTTGGGGAAACACAGTAGGTACAACAAAAGTCTCCATGTTCCATCTTCCTTTTGGCCAGCAAATAAGTAGTTTTTCTTACTAGGGCCGCTAGTATCCAGACATAATTGTTATGATTCTCTGGATAGTTCTTGGCATCCCCACCACATTTCCTAAAAACATCTATCAGCATGGAAGTAGCCATGAGATCTTGCCTAGCTTACCCTTTCAGCGGGGACTTAGAAGCTTGGGGAGAAGGAACAGAGCTATTTTCCAGAGATGCAAATGAGTCAAAAAGACAACAGAGATGTTCAAACTTCCAGATGTTTCCTTGTCTCCGACCAACCTTAGAACATGTTCCTTAGCATTATTGTTCCCTTCTCCTTCCCAAAGAACAGGACTGTTGAGGACGCCCTATGGGCCCAGGATGTTTAGGCAGAACATGTACAAGAGCTTAAGACCGCCCGTTGCATATTTCCTTTACCTCATTGTCTAACTTTAAGTTTTGATCTGAATTATTGCTTGACACTTTGTTTTGTAACCAAACAGAATTTCCTTGTGCCTTCTGTGCCTCTTCTGAGGTCAAAGGAGCACTGGTTTAAGGCAAAATGAAATTGAATTTTCTATTTATCCAATATATAGAGGGGGGGATTTGGAAACCTTATGGACATTACTTAAATATTTCTTCTCAAATTCCCTCACAGCGACAAGACAGGTTACAATATTTCCATGGCAACCACTTTCCTCAGAAGTTTGAACCTGTCTTTTAAACTTCTCTTTGAACCCTACAGAACTCAATGCAATGGTTCCCATTTCCAAGTGGCTTCCCACAATGCGTGAAAAATGCTTTTGGAGCATCCTGAAAGGACATACATACCTTCAACTTCAGCACTGAGACCTTTGATGGAAGCTGAAGCAAAATATAAAAAGGGACACATGAAGGGGAGAGGGAAAAGTGGAGAGGAAAAAGATTAAGTTAGATACGATACATATCTATAATATGGAATTGGTTGTTTTGAGAAAAGTGTTATTTTTAAACAGGAAATTCTCTCTCTCTCTCTCTCACTCTCTCCTCTTACCACCAGAAACGGCTTTAAATTCTGTCAACTCCTGAGGAAATGTTGCCAAATCAGGCTCATGTAAGAAGATCTGTTCCACAAGGGCATGTAGCAAGGTGAAATTCCTTTCCTTACCTCGAAACAAGGGTAACTACAAAAAGAATACAGCAATATGATGGATGGAGGTGACCAGATGTGTTTGTTTTTTAAAGGAAGACAGTAGGAACATTATCCCTCTGAGGTAAACTTACCTCCCCAAAAGTCATATTCAGCCACCTCATCATAGTATGGCGGTGACTGTGCATTTCCAAAGGTTGTAGTAGAGGAGGGCAACCTCTGGCAGACACTCCCAACCTGGTAAGGGTTGAATATGGACCTTACAACGCACTAAGACAATAATGTCATGGAAAGTTGGAAGTAGCAGCAAAAGAGGAAGACTTTTTTAAAAAGAGAGGGATTGGTTCAACGAAGGAAGCCATGACTTTGAATTTGCAAGAGTTGCTCATGGCTGTTGATGATAGGACCTCTTGGAGATCACTATTTTATGTAGTCATCATAGGTCAGAAGTGATTTAGCAATATATAACAACAACACATTCTATGTGTGCCATTCAAGGACCTATCTAGCTAAGTGCAAGAGATAATCATCCCAATAAAGTAGACTAATAATCATAGTGTGCCATCAATTGACTGCTGATTTATGACAACTCTTTTCAAGGTGTGGGGTTTTTTTTAGGTATAAGGGTACAGTACTTGGAATTGGTTTATCATTACCTTATTCTGGGGACATCCTGGGACTGTGCAGCTACTGGGTGATAAATGGGCCACAGCAATTAACTATACAATGACAATATGAATATCTCCACATCGCATCACAGGTGCTGCATGTTCCTTCCCCCACTGCCCTGGTCAGCTGGCCCACTCACACTCCATTGTGCACTGCCAGGGTCCTTCTTCTGCTGTGACAGGCCAATGCAGGGAGGAACTTCTCCAGCCTCCTCCATCAGCCAAAGATTCCAACAAGGAAGCGGGATGGGGAGTGGTTGGCTGACAAGGGAGGTGGGAAAGGTCAGCCCAAGCTCCTGACTACACTGGCCCACCCCTGCAAAGGGAGGACCCTAGAGGTGCACAATGGAGTGTGAGTGGACCAACCAGCCAGGAGGGTGGGGTGAGGGAACACACAGCACCTGTGGTGCCATGCAGAGAAACTTGTACGAAGCAGCATGACTTAATCTGTGCCCATCTCTAGTCATAAAGTCTCTCTGTGGTCTCTAGGGGGTACAAGGGCAGTTCTTACATGTACTGAGGTGCTCCTAGCACCTCAGAGCATCAACAATACCTAAGGGTGTTTACTGAAAGGAGTGTCAGTTCCTCCTTCAAGCATTCCATGCAACCTACAAAGGTGTAGGATAGAACTTGTGAGGAGGGACATTGAAATGGCATCCATGACTGTGGCCTCCATCTTGTCAAGCCACCACAGCCATTCCCTTTTCACATGCAAGAATGTGAAACCACAAAATGTTTCGTTTTGACTCTGAGAGGTACGATATTTTTTGTTGGTCTCGATCAGAATTTTGGAGTTGTTGCACAAACCATGTAGGTAAACTACTGTAGCTGCTGCCTTCTTGAATGGACTTTAAAAAACTGGAATCTTATGCACATAGGCACTTTGCTTTGCAAAAGGAAGATATTTGTTCTGAGGAATAGATGGGGTATAAATCAAACAAATACATAAATTATTGGGCACAAAGAAATTTTTGCACAAATTGCAGAAACCTCAACAGGAAAAGGAAGCATTCAAAATCTTGTTCTCTTGCTGGAGGCAAGAAATCTTGTTGGTATTAATGACAAATCAAGATAACCTGAATGGCCAAATTATGAAATTTCCTCATGCCTTTAACGTATTTTCTCAAGGCTTATAGGAATAGCTTCTGAAAGGAGCTCGCCTGAGTAGGAATAAGCACATAACCCATTGGTCACTTTTACTGAAAACGTGATTTCCCCAGACAGAGAAAAACAGATTTTTGTACCCTAATGTAAAGTGGCAAGAATACTTCATGTAAAATGATGTTCTTATTCTCCTTTGTGGGATTCAGAAAGATGTAGTCCAGCACTGGAAGGTTTCACTGACATTTTTCATAATGATAGATGTGGTGTTTCAGGAGTTATGAAAAACCAAAGCATCCAAATGGGCCCTTCAACTGTTGCTTGCATCGTAAATCACTCCATATACTGAAATCCCTGAAAAAGGAGGAGAAAGATAACTTCCTGTTCTGTTTAGAGGTGTGGGAGAATTTGGTAATATTCTTAAAGGTTCAAGGCTGCCTGAATATATAACTCAGTAATAGGAGCAGCCTAATCACCGAGTTTGAGGTGCAAAAAAACCATACTTACTGCCAGTGTTATCACAGATCAATTTTTAAGCGCTGCAAACAGGCTATAAAAATGCAATCAGAAAGCCCCTTAAGAGCATGTCTGAACATTAAGAAAAAGGATGTGGTACAGTCTTCCTCCCGTCCTCAAATACACACCTTAATGTGATGAGGGAGCTTGAATGTGTCAGGGAAGCTGAGAGCCATTTTGTGAGCAGGCTAGAGTCCATCGTAAGTCTGGATTCTCAGCAGGATCACCCACGACAGAATGGTTTAAGCTGAGACATCAGATTGAGATGTACCCAACCCCTTCAGGAACAACAGTCACATCAGCAGAAGAGAATGGATAGTTCCAGAGGTGATGGAGGTGGAAAAGAGCAGATATTGGGCAGCAGGAATAGTGGAAAGTGACACTGGCCCCGGACTTTTCACAAACAATGGCAGTGATGCCCAAGCTAACTTTTGTTACTAATGTACAGAATACCATGATTTGCAGATTACAGAAAAGCCTTTATGTGGATCATGGAAAGCTATGGATTATTCTCTAAAAGAAATGGCTGTGCCGCAACATTTGATTGTCCTGATGCACAACCTATGCTCTGAGCAAGAGGCTATGATCAGGAGAGAAGATGGAGGAACAGAATGGTTTCTCAAAGCCACCGGTGTGTTTTCTCTCCCTATATGTTCAGTCTATCTGCTGAACATATACAGAAACATGAAATAGATTTGGAAGAAGAAGAAATGAAAACTGATAGGAAAAGAACTAGAAGTGACCCTAAAAGGTGAAGAGGCGTCACTGGAGACCAAGACTGAAATGGTCCATAGTGTAGTTTTCCCTCTTGCTTATGCACACATAGGAAATGGGACAGTGGAAAAAAAGCTAATGGGAAGAAAAGAAATTTTCTTTGAAACGCGGTGTTGGAGGAGAACTTTCGGAATACCATGGATCACCAAGAAGACAAATAAGTGGGTATTTTATTAATTCAAATCTGAGCTTCTGTACTTGAATGGACAATGCTCATTAGAACAGACAATTATGCTAGGAAAAGTTAAGACGGCAGAAAAAGAGGAAGAACAAATATGAAATATTTGGATTCAATAAAGGAAGCTATGGCCTTTTGTTTGCAGTAACTGAGAAGGGCTATACATTACAAGACTTTTTAGAGGTCTCTAATTCAGAGTGTCACAATATGGCCTTACGCCAATAAGACAGAGGCTTTGTGTGTCTGTGACTGCCAGATCCGGGAATTCAGCAAGAGACCTGTTCTAGACAGAGTCTCATTCCCCCCGAAGGAGGAGGTTCATTGTTTAGGAGCACTCCTAGATTCATCTTTGTCATTGAACACTCACGTGCCCTTGGTGGCTCAAAGTGCCTGAGGCCATCTTCAACTAGTCTGCCAGCCACAACAATTTCTGGACAAGGTTAACCTGCTCACAGTAGTCCCAGCTACTGCCATGCAAGGGGATACCCTTGAAGATGACGTGGATGCTGCAGCAAGTGCAGTATGCAGCAGCTAGACTGCTAACAGGAACATCTTTCAGAACTCACATGACAACAATTCTGAAAGATTTGCTTTGGCTGCCAATATGCTCCTGAGTGCAAGGTGTTGACGATGACTTACAAAGCCCTTAATGGCTTGAGACCTGGATATTTGAAGGAGCACCTCTCCCTGCATAAACCTGCTAAGATCTGCTGGGCAGGTCCCCCTCCTTGCCCCACCATTGAGAACAGTTTGTTCTGTCGAGACATGGGGGGCAGAGCTTTTATTGCCACAGCACTCCTATTGTGGAATGTTCTCCCCTTGGAGGCTCAATTGTCAAATGGGCATAATTTTGGCACCAAGTCAACATGTAGTGATCTCATGGAGCCTTTAGGGGTTGAGGTTCGTGGCCTTTTCAGGTTTAATGCAATGGTTTTAACGTTTTTCGTGATTCAGTGTTTTAATTTTGTGCTGTTTGATTTTAAACTCTTCTAATTATCTTATGTTTTAAATTTGTTTTATATAGCTTTATGACTTTCCCTAAGATCCTGTGATACAGGGCAGGTTCTCTCCTTTTTTGCTGACTGGATCGTTTGCTGAGTTAGGTATCTGGCTGCAGAGCCTGAGGTTGGGAGATTGATTCCCCTCAGTGCCTCCTGGGAGATGAGCCAGCCTATGTAGCCCTGGGGGAGTTGGATATTTGAAGTAGCACCTCTCCCTGCATAAACTTGCTAAGATCTGCTGGGCGGGTCCCCCTCCTTGCCCCACCATTGAGAACAGTTTGTTCTGTCGAGACATAGGGGGCAGAGCTTTTTCTGCCACAGCACTCCTATTGTGGAATGTTCTCCCCTTGGAGACTCAATTGTCAAATGGGCATAATTTTGGCACCAAGTCAACATGTAGTGATCTCATGGAGCCTTTAGGGGTTGAGGTTCGTGGCCTTTTCAGGTTTAATGCAATGGTTTTAACATTTTTCGTGATTCAGTGTTTTAATTTTGTGCTGTTTGATTTTAAACTCTTCTAATTATCTTAAGTTTTAAATTTGTTTTATATAGCTTTATGACTTTCCCTAAGATCCTGTGATATAGGGCAGGTTCTCTCCTTTTTTGCTGACTGGATCGTTTGCTGAGTTAGGTATCTGGCTGCAGAGCCTGTGGTTGGGAGATTGATTCCCCTCAGTGCCTCCTGGGAGATGAGCCAGCCTATGTAGCCCTGGGGGAGCTTCACAGCTCCTACCCCTTAAAAAGGGAATGGTAAACCACTTCTGAATACTCTTCGTCAAGAAAACCCTGAAAAGTGTTGCCATAAGTCAGAATTGACTCGACAGCACACAATTAGTATTCTTATTATTAATAATAATGTTTAAATACAGTAAAATTAAATTGAAATAAATAAAATATTTCAGAAGCAACTTGACAACAGTCCTGATAAGATAAAGGACAGGGGGCTATAGTCCACAAAACCTCATATTCCAACATGGGTATCAAAGTTGCCACAGGCTTCTTTATTGCTGTGTCCTTCTGAAGAAATTCTGTTTCGTTTAGTCAAATACTTCTTCCCAGCAGTATATACACGGCGGTGTGTTGGGTATTGGGGAGGCATATTTAAATGGATTTAAGTGAAGTCCTCACCCAACTTAAAAATTGGTAGCGAAGTTTTGCACCTATATTTTCTATATTTTCTTTCTTATCCTCCCAGGCTACGGAACATTTCATCTCAAGCAGATGACAAAACTGCGCATGGCTTTATTGATCCATATTCAAGGGAAATGAGATTGAAACATATTGTCAGAAAACAGTGCTTTCCTAAAACTGATGGGCTGCACAATAAAGCCACTTACTTTTGCAAGAGAAGACAGCTGAAACCCCCTGGCTTTCTCTTTCCCAGCCTTTTCATTTAAGTAGTTCCCAATGGCTAAGATATACTCCAACACAGCAACAAATCTTGGGCAGTCCTGCAGCTGTTTGCATGCCTGGATCTTTTGGTTTATGAGCTGGAACACAAAGATGTTCTGTTTGATTAAATTGTTAAGGCTGACTAAATCAACATCTCAATTTTTTTTTTCTTTGCCTGTTAGGAATGGGTCTAGAACCACTTGGATACCAGATGAAGTGGGCCTCAGTGGGAATTCAGTATAATTATAATTGCATCCTTATTGTGTGCTGTAGTGCAATTACAGGGAGTGGGGACTGTGAAATACATTAAATTTCACTTTAGATATCAGCAGAAGGTCAGTTTTTGAGCACCACCAAAAGTCATACAGTTCTTAACATTGGAATGCAACTATTTAGCAGGGATGTTGGCAAGTCTTTGGGTCCAAGTCCCAAGTCCAAGTCCAAGTCTTTGGCACCAAGTCCCAAGTCCAAGTCTTTGGCACCAAGTCCCAAGTCCAAGTCTTTGGTACCAAGTCCCAAGTCCAAGTCTTTGGCACCAAGTACCAAGTCCAAGTCTTTGGTACCAAGTCCCAAGTCCAAGTCTTTGGGTCCAAGTCCCAAGTCCAAGTCTTTGGGTCCAAGTCCCAAGTCCAAGTCCAAGTCTTTGGCACCAAGTCCCAAGTCCAAGTCTTTGGGTCCAAGTCCCAAGTCCAAGTCCAAGTCTTTGGTACCAAGTCCCAAGTCCAAGTCTTTGGCACCAAGTCCCAAGTCCAAGTCTTTGGTACCAAGTACCAAGTCCAAGTCTTTGGTACCAAGTACCAAGTCTGAGTCTCTGTTAAAAACAAGCTTTTTTCCTCAGAAAAAAGGAAGGGTGGGTGGGTTCCAAGTTCCAAGTTAACTGAGTCATTGGGAATAAACCTCGAATCAAATCCAATTGGACCAGCGCAACTTAAATCTTATTTGACAGCGAGTCTCGCAACTCGAGTCCCCATCCTTTCTGTTTAGCGTCCTAAGCAGACAGCTAGTGTCACGCGGTGGTGAGAGTGCAGGAAGCGGACTTCAAAGATGCAGGTTCAAGTTCCCCCTGAGGTATTAAAATTTTCAGGGTGATCTCCAGCTGGACATTCTCTCTAGGACTGATCTATCTCACAGGGTTGTTGCTGTGGAAAAAAGAAGCTCCTCAAGCTCACTGGAGTAGAGGTCGCACATACATGCAATGTAAAAATAAATAAGAGTTCATTGGAGGAAAGGTGGCCTACAAATGTAGATCAACAACCGAGAGTCAACAGCTCTTGAAGGTAAAGCAATCACTAAAAGTATCATATCTCTCATAGATGAAGGATGATACTTCCGGATGCCATTTCTCCCTTGTATGTGGTTTCATCATATTTTTTTCACCATTTCTAGCCTGGTAAGATGTATGGCACATGGTGGGGATAAAACATTAGCCCCCCAGTCTTACCAAAGATTTCCAACCTGACTTAAAAAGATTCCCTCATCAAATGAGGTGTTTTTTAGCTAATGAGCTGGGGAACCTGAAGGCTTAAAATTTCCAGTTTTAATATTCCATGACTAGAAGCCTTTCCAAAAGGTAAAGATGCTCTTCCCTGGAGTTATGACATGGGCAAGAGTGTTAAATAGCCTTCTACTCCCTGTCCTGCCATATCCCATCTTTACTTTTACCAAAAAATAATGTGAGGAGGAAGATGACGATGAAGACAAGGAAACTTGTACACCTAAAAGGCCCTGATTTTTCATGACATGCATCTTCCATTGGGAAGCATTTAATTCCAGTTGAGGTTCAAGATTTTTACATTCAGGTTTCCATTCAGTTTACTCACCCTGGGAGGTAGTAAGGGATCTATTCTGTCAACCGCTTTTTAGGTTTGGCTTCTATGGTTCAAATCCCTGTCTGAATACCCTTTAGATCAGACTGAATCATCCAATGTCTGTTCAGATCATGGGCTCCTTCTGCCAAGAACTAGATTTTCATTATTATGTAAAATGGAATAGTACGTTCCAGATGCATCGCTTGGGCAAGTATACAGCGTTTCAATAAGAAAACCAGAATGACAAATAACATCTCAAAAATTAAATTTCAAACAATGTCTACAAAGATATCAGCTATGCTGATTGGTGTGGACTGTGTCATCTTTCATGAGGTATTACCTGCTGGAGGTGCTATTTCTGCTAATGAACTCTCTCTGGTTTTTACTTGCCCAAGGCTATTTTAGACACCCCAGCAGGTAGCGCACACTGTATTTCAAATCTAGATGATCTCAAATTTACTTTCATGCTAGTTATGTCTCTCTTGGCTGTAAAATTCAGGAGCAACATAGATCATCAAAACCTTTCCCCACATTTCTTTTGAATAATGCAGTGAAATGACAACTTATACATCAGGCTGCCTGCGTTATTACAATGTGAATGTCAACAACAGGACTGGTGAGTTGATTTTTTTCCAAGGAAAAGTTCATCTCAGATACACACACAAAGACTTCACAAATTCATATTGAGGGCACCTGGTGTTTTACAGCGTATTCCTGTGTATGTTTACTCAGACCTAAGGCCCACTGTGTTTAGTGGTACTTACCTGGAAGTCAGTATTACAGACTCAATTATATGCTGTGTTAAAACAACAGGCCAGAATCCTGTTGATGGAACAAACGATGCAATCTTTCATTGTACAACCAGTTTGCACAAGCCCTATTTGAATGGTGCACCTTCTGCTTGTGCAACAGTCAGACATCGCCTGGATCTCACTAGTAAAGAGTTGTGCTCTATAAGAGATCCGCAAAACTGTAACCTACCAGACAGCTAAGCATCTCTCTTTTTTAACTTTACTTTTTTTTGCTCTGAAGTAGTGGGGGCAGAGTCCAGTCTGGATCAAGACCTTGTGCACAGATAGGGAAAACTAAAACTTTCCTCTCTTTCATTTTTCTCTTCAAATGCTGTGCGTACAGACATACATGCTTGTACAGAAGAGAACCAAACTTCATAGGCAGCAACATTAGCTTCCATGTTGGGGAGTAGAAGTATTTATGGGAGACACAATGGGGAAGGGGGAGAGGCATGAAAACTTTCCCATCTACGGATGAGTTCCTGTTGCTTAGTGTAGTTAGACTCGCTAGCCGAGGCCTATTGAATCAGTGGGGAGTTTGGTGAGTCTGCTCCCTCATTCCATTGGCTTAAATGGGCTTATTATGGGAAAGTAGTTGCAACTACAGTAAGCCCATTTTGAGTTGATTCACCAAATCCCCACTGATTGAGTCGTCTTGCTCTTGTGTTACTTGCTATGCCAAGAAACAGGATTTCAGCCTACGTGTGGTGGTTGTGATATGAATTGGGCCCATATACCCTTGTTGTTGTTATGTGTTAACGTGTCAGAACTGACTTACAGCGACCTTAATCGGGTTTCAAGGTAAGTGAGATATTTAAGGAGGAGTTTTACCAGTTCATCTTCCCTCAGTAAACTTCCATGCCTGAGCAGGGATTCAAACCCTGGTCTCCAGCATCCTAGTCCATCATTCTATACACTACATCACACTGGGTATTGACCTTTAATTTAAATTAGAAAGAAGGTGAAGATTAGCTGCACATTATGTGCTTCATGTAATATAGGGGTGAAAATACAGCCCTTCAAATGTACGTACTTACTAGGGGCATTTTGAAGCCCATCCAGTTATCCCAGAGCACCCCCCTTGGACCCAGGTGAAAACCCCTTTTTATAATCTCTCTCTCTCTCTCTCTCTCTCACACACACACACATACACACACACACACACACATACCAAAAATATCAAAATGGGAATTAACCATCCAGGAATATGGGGCTTTCACACCCTTGTGTGTGTGTGTGTGTGTGTGTGTATGTGTGTGTGTCTGTGTGTGTGTCTGTGTCTGTGTGTCTGTGTCTGTGTCTGCGTCTGTCTGTCTGTCTGTCTGTCTGTCTGTCTCTCTCTCTCTGTGTGTGTGTGTGTGTGTGTGTGTGTGTGTGTGTGTGTTGGGTATTCCTAACCATTTCATGCCCTGGTGCAGCCCCATAAGAGCTGCTAAGCATAAAAAAATTTGTCCTCCAGTCCAGCCAGAGTTACCCATCCCTAACACAGCATGGCTTTTAGCTTTCAGTGTGGTAGATTTAAGGTCACAAGAGACGGAAAATAAAGAAGCATATAGAAGTCAAATCATAACACGTACTGGCTCAAGATCAGCCATGGATACTGGAAGTTCACGAGCTGAATGCAAGATGTCAAGTATTTGACATAAATTAGGTATTTTACACATCTGCAAAAGATAAAGAATAATTCAGAGAAAAATTCTGATTCTATTTGTCACATATAGGGACATTTGAAGTTGTATTACTGAATCCATGTAAAATGGAAGCTTTGGAGGTGTTGTAGTCCTAGAAGTAACTTTCCCGTGCTGTACCTCAGTAGTTCCCAACCTTGGGCCTCCATATGTACTTGAACTAAATGTCCCAGAAGCCTTCACCACGAGCTGGCGAGGGTTTCTGGGAGTTGTATTCCAAGAACACCTGTGGACTCAAGGTTGAGAATTACTGTTCTATCTGAATCAAGTTTTTGTATTGATACCATAGCCCAGTCTCTTTGGACTTGTAACTCCATGGCCAAAATCTCAGCTGGAATCTGCTCTGCCTTTCTAACTGAGATCCCATTTAGGGTGAAGATGTTGGAAAATGAAACTCCTGGGACTTTTTGCATGCCCGTGAACTATAGGCCAAATTAAGTGAACTTCTGCTACCTCTCTGCATGGTCAGAACATCCCAAGACATTTTGCAATAAAATCCAAGATGGCAGCCCCATCGCTGGTACAAAAGCAAGTTGACCACTGTTAAATCTACAATATTGGGGTGGTATCACCTAAACCTAGGAAGTACAGTGGTGCCTCGCTAGACTATGATAATCCATTTCACTGAAATCGCTGTTTAATGAAATCATCATTTAGCGAAAAGCATTTCCCTATTGTAATGCATTGAAACCTGTTTAATGCATTCCAATGGGGAAGAATCGGCCTTGTCTAGCGAAGATTGGCCATAGGAAAGCCGCTTTGCGAGCTGCCAATCAGCTGTTTAAATAGCTGTCTTGCGAAGCTTAGGTCCCGAAAACACCCGTTTTGCGAGCACGGAGGGAGCTGTCAAAATCGTTGTTTAGTGAAAACTGGTTTGCGAAGCAGGGACCAAACATTGTCCAGCGAAATTCCCCCATAGGAATCACTGTTTTGCAAATCGCTATAGCGATCGCAAAAAGTCAATGTCTAGCGAAAAAACTGTCATGTGGGGTAACTGTCTAGCAAGGCACCACTGTACAATGTAAGGCACCAGCTCTTTTCTGACACTGTTGTCACCTCCCAGCAGTGGCCACCTGAGGCAACTACCTCATTCTGTCTAAGGGTAGGACATGCCCTGAGCAGAAAGCTGATGAACTTCAACTAGGCATAAACCTTAAGCTGTGAATCTGCTCTACTATACTGTAGAAAACTTTTAACAAAATATTTAATAAATAAACAACGTCTTATTCAATCTTCAAAAGGGCATTTTTGACAGGATAATAAGGTATGTAAAGTTTACCACAGGGATGTCAGTGCCTTAGGAAAATATATCATTTAGATTAGCTATAGATAACATATCTGTATTCTTTGAACATTCCCCAAAATGCTACATGCATCTATTAAGTACACTTCTCGTAATAATATTAGAAGGCTTTGAATATTCATACCAGAAACAAATGCTTTTTAAAAAATAATTACAGACCAAGAGAAATTTAAATCTTAGGAACATTGGCAAACCAAAATGTTAGCATCTTTCTCTTTCTGATTTCGAGAAAACTCTCAAGTTTCAGAAACAGGCCTCCATATAGATAATGAGGAATAAATAATCAAAGTCGTTGTGCTGAAGTTATTTGTGGATCAAAGGACACATGAAGAATTAAATTTAAAATTTCCAGATGTAAATGACAGATAAATGGGAAAAGAAAAAAGGAATGATGAAAATAGAAGCCTCAGAAGCTCAATTTTTTAAAAAAGTCCAAATTCACAAAGACATTCTATCCTCTATTTTCATTATTCATTTTTCTTTCTGTCTCATATCCATTATAATAAAATTATATACCCTCTGATACTATAAAAATAATAAACTCTGATTCATCCTAAGAAAGCTAATGGCTGTTTGACAGAAATCAGAGTTTACAAAAACAATTTATAATGTTATTAGCACTAAGCCTTCACATGGCCTTCTACATACGATCCTCATTTTATAGCCTATAAACTGACCAAATAACTCTCAGCAATTTCTTTTGCTCCAATAATATTTGACAGTTACCCAGCACTCTTAACTCAGCACAAAACCAGCCAAGAGAAAGAAGCAAATCAGATAAAGCCATCACTTAATCTGCAAACATGTTTCATACTTCTAGCATAAACTGATCCACCAGATGTAGTTCTGAAGGAGGTCCCTTAAATGATAGGTACATTTCTTTATCCTTGGCTGTGGGCTGGTACCTGTTGGAAACCAAAAACAGCATTTTTGATTCTAAAAAGTCAATGGCACAGATGGATATTTTATTAGACATAATTTGTACACAACAATAATAGGACATGGGTTCAATGGTGTGTTCAGCTTGATTTCACAGTGACAAAAATCTGCAGAGATTTAAGCAATTGGAAAGATACAAGATCTTTTCATAGCCACTTTTTCAAATCTATTAACTACTACCAATCATAAATAATGAAACACATCACATTTCCCCAGGGTAATTGTCCATCTGACCAAATGAGAGAAAAAAGTGACTTTGGACAAGCAGCTGAGGGATGATTTACAGGCCAGTAGTATGTATGTTCCCTCCCACTGTGTGTGTGCGCGTGCACACACATGCGCATGTTTTAGACAGGGCAATACTCATGGCCCACAGGTGGGCCCCAGTGCTACTTCTGTAGCCCAAAAAGGACCCTAATAATTTCCAATGTTTTTTATCTTTTACCAAAAAAAAAGTCTGTCATTTTTATATGAAGGGCTTGGGGACTCCTGCCCCACCCCACAATTTAAGAAAACTGAAAACACAAGGCTCTCTCTGGGCTCCTTTTATCCCATGGTACAGGAGTTCACCCAAACACCCCAATAAGCCCCCAGATGGTTTAATGCATGCCTCTATTTGTCTCAAATCAAACATTTTTGCATGGTGTACCAACCACCTCTCTAACTTGCAAAATTCATGTGATTATTACATAAGCATTGAAATGGCAGGTGAACACAGAATTTAAATTCAGGATTTAAATCCAAATGGTTGACTAACACAACCCCCCCCCCGAAACCAATTAGTGTTGTCACCAGATCATTCTTACAGGAAGGGCATTTTGCCATGGCCTTTTCTTCTTTTAGAATAAATTTCTCCTGTGACATGGGCGATATATCTAGAATGGGGCACCAGCAACATCCCTTATCACACAGGTAGGCTGATATTGGTGAGGACCTACTCCCAATATATGAATCCAAGGCCAGTTAGGCAGTCAGAAGTGGCCTGTTTGGGCAAATGGGGCACTGCTCCCTAAGGCAAGTCTAGTCAGTAGTCACAGCTTGGGGGCTTTTAAAAAAAGGGAACTGACTTGCATGAAATGACATATGCTAATTCATATGTACCAAGGCAATGTTAGAAATTATTTTTATAATTTAAACCAAATCTCAGTGCATCTCACTTAAGTGAGGAAGACAGTGGCCAGGTGGCTCGTGCTGCTCACGAATAATCTGAGAATTACTTGAGAGCATTGAACACTGTTGCCTGATTCAAGCTCTGGTCAACTACAGGTCTATTAATTTACTCTTATTGCCATTTGGATTTTGTGTGTTACATTTCTATCCAGCCTGTCCTCAAAGGAGCTCAAGATGGTGTATGTGCTTTTCCTTCTCCTTATTTTACCCACAAAACCTCTATAACATAGATCGGGCTGAGAGAGTGGGACCAACCCAAGGTCACTATTGGGCTAAGTGTCATGGCAGAGCAGGGATTTGAATTCAGGTTTATTGAATCCTAGAGTGTTGCACATTGACCTGTCTCTGAAGACTATCTGGACTTTTCAGTCAGAAAACAGGTCTTGGTTGCTAACTAGGACTAAACATAGTGCTGAAATTGCACCATGGACCCTGAAAATCTTTCTCCCGAGTTTCCACAGGTTGTTCAAAAACAATATTCCTGAATTAAGTTTTAAAGTGTACTTTGATTTTGATTTCTGGAATGAATGCATGCATGGGTAGAAAGCCGTGGAACACAGCTTTGCACTTACAGGTAACAGCAGGGACCAAAAAGTCACCAACCTGCCTCAGGCCCCATAAACCTCAGGATGATCCTGCTAGAGATGGGCACCAACTGCTGGCTTTTTCATTCCATCAGAAATTACCGTATTTTCCGTGTATAAGACTACACTTTTGTATAAAATCTTTAGACTAAAAATCGCGGCTCGTCTTATACACCGAAGTAAGCCGCACAGAGCACAAAAACAAGTGGAGGGGAAAGCAGGGATCAAAGCGATTCTGCAGCCCTTTTATCCCTTTCCCCCTACACTTGCTAAGCCCCACTTAGATTTCTTAATTTTGGATTAGAAAAGTTGGGGGGGGCATCTTATACATTGAAAAATACGGTACTTCTGAGTTGCTTGCCTTTGTGATCTCTATTAGTGTAACAAATTGTACATTTTAAAAAATATGCTGTAAGCAGTACTGGGAGAAATTTCATAAGGAATAAGAATGTAAAGTCTTCTAACATAACCGGATTTATATCCAGATTGTAAAACATAACCATGTCCCATTTATTCCAACAGAGTTCACCAGCACTAAAACATAACAAACTGTTTCTTATACACAGACAGTGCTTTCATTGTGGCTTCTGCTCGGTGCCCCCCCATTGGCACAGCTGGGACATATAATGCTACGACAGTCTACCAAGGTTCTTTCACCTGCCAAAGTGGATAGTTTCCAAAAGAGCTCCTCACAAACTTTACAATCCAAGCAGCCCACTCAAGTGGAAAGACAGCTATTTCAAGCCATCCCTGGATGAGGAATATCACAGGCAGAGTGGCCCTTAGTCTTCTCCACCTCAGCGGAATTAATTCATCTTAAATCCAAGTCATTTGGCTGAACTGGCTCCTGGATTGGGTTGCTTTGTTCCTCACACTGCTTAAGGCTTAGCATTATAACTAGCGACGTAGCTTATGGTTTTTTGGGGAGAGCAATGAGTAATAATGAATAAAAGTTTTCTAGAGACAGTCTTCATTTCTAATGCAGCGAGCAAGCTATATCAGCTGCTTCAGTAAACACGCCCTCTTGCTTTTCCTTTCATTTACTCAATGCTGCTTTCAAAAGTAATTTCTATCATAAATAAAGAATTCCATCCAAAAGGTTACCTTCTTAGCGCTGTAATCTGCTCATCACTAAGTCCGCCACTGTCTTCATGTATAATGTATACTTTTTCTTTCAGCTGGCTTGGTTTTATGCAGAAACTTTTAAGAAAAATGTCTTGGGGGAAAAATGATTCTTTGATTACTTGTAGATAAAATGCATACGGGAGACAAGAAGGAGGGGGGGACACTGGGATATTACACAGTTGCTTTCCCCCACAGAATTAGCGTGCGCACTGGGCTCACTAAACACTAAATTGAAGCCATTCTTTTGGTATCCTTATGCGCCAATAGCGCCAATATATCCATATGTATATATTTGATTGAAGCACAGTCAATGCACTGAACAGAATAATCATCAAGGTATTGTCCTTTGGCAGAACTCAAGAAAGCTTAGTTCTAAAACTGTTTAAATTAAGAATACAAAGGCTTATTCCATATTTGGATTCTGTAAATCTCAACTTCTTTCCAGCAAATTTATGAGACACATCCTCACCGGCAATTTTTCAAGATATACTTTCCCGCTAACAATTCTATTGCCAGTCAATGGACGTAATTTTCACTATCCCTGTTACTTTCTTTTAGGCCAGGCATCCCAGTTAACATGTGTCCATCTATCACAAAAATGTCTCTTCTTCCTAGGAGAATTTGTGCACATCCTATAATTACATCTTACTAAATATACATGTTGCTGTCAAGTCAAATCCAATTTATGAGAATCATTCTCAGGATTTCCTAAGTATGAATAACTCAGAAATGGTGTACCTGTCTCTTCTTTGGGAGGTGCTCTGGGACTCTTTAGCTTTCTCAAAGCCACATGGGCTAACTCTTTTCTACTCAGAAATGGTGCACCAGTCTCTTCTTTGGGAGGTGCTCTGGGACTTCTCAAAGCCACATGGGCTAACTCTTTTCCCAGGAGAAACAGTGGGGAATCAAACTGCCAAGTCAATGCTCAGTGAACTGTTAACTGCAGATAATCTTTTAAAGGGGGGAGGGATATAATGATAGCAGTGCATTTTCAACTTTACAGTATAACTTTTGGTTTTCAACTTGCTCAACTCCAAAATACCTTGCAGAGCTACTTTGAGTTTTGCAGAGGCATCTGAGAAGAATTGTGGAGTGTGCGTGCATACTCACAAACACAGAGAATGTTGGGGTTTGCTGCTGTTCTACATGAGAATATTGATATGTAATGAATGTGCGTGATTGTCACAGGAGATGTTCTACAAACCCTACATTAGCCTTCCTAACCTAGTGTCCTTCAGATTCACTGGGTCATGATTCCCATCATCCCTAGTCATGGAGACTGGAGATTATGGGGGCTATTCTTGGTTAATGTTCTCATAGGACATAGCCAACCATTCCTGATTGAGGACCCTTACAATGTCAGTGGGGGGTCAACAAAGATGTTTTAGGCAGCATTTGAAAAGTTAGTGATTTTGGTGGTTGGAAAGTTCTGAGAAACATTGTCCATAGAAGTCCCTTGTCAAGTTTTCTTCGAGAGCATCTTATCTGCCACTTATGTCCTTTTCGATAAACTGCCAAGCAATCTCAGGAAGATTCTTGGACTATTACCTGAAATAATGCTCTTGTATAGCATTAGCCATCCTGCTTGTACCATTTGATGTCCTATGGGCTCCATAAAGAAACCATAAGGTTTGACAAACATCGAGTCGTGATCCTTTTTGTATAAATCACTCTGTGCTAATGCAGCTAGAGGAAGTTCTCAACATCCTCCTAGAAAAAGGCACCTCGAGATTAACTGTTGTATTATCTTTTTAAATGTAACACCAGATTTAGATCTACTTCTTAGCATATGGTAATAATCAATGCTACCTGCATTCAAGAGAAGCTTCACCTCATGCATTCAAGAAAACGGTGATGCTCACAAATACCAACCTGAAAGCTACAACCTCCCTAAATCGTCAGGCTGCTCTGTGGCTTTAAACAAAAAAGAGTACTATAGAAAAGTACAGCTTCACTTTGCTGTATTTGACTCATTGTCTTCAAATCAACACACTTCTGGGTGTTTAAAGAATGTCATAAAGAAGGGTTCTCTCTGGTCATTTTCAGACAGAACTCTGTAAATTTTCAGCCTTCTCTTGAACTCACAAGAGATCAATGAAAGAATAGTTCTGGGTAGACATTTTAAATGGTGCCAATAGATGCCTCGGAGAAGAAGTGAACAAAATACAGCTATCCTGCTTTCATGACAATGGAACCAATTACCTCAGGAGGTGCTGTTCCACTGCTGGAAGCATTCAAGAGAAAATTGGACAACTGTCTGTCAGATGTGTTTTGATTTAGATTCCTGCACTGGGCAGGGGGTCGGACTCGATGACCTTATAGCCCCCCCCTTCCAACTCAGTTATTCTATGATTCTATGCCAAATATCTGATTAGGCAGCCTGTTATAGTAATTTGACCCATAGAATTAGAACTGAATTGTATGTTATAGACAACCTTTCCTTAGAACAAAGAATTCCTTAAGTAACGAATGTGTCACAGGAAGAGATTTTCTCCTCTCCTGTACTTTAACAATTAGGTTGCATTATTTTATGATGGGTCTCCAGAACATAAGCATATTCTTTCATTTTTAAGTCAGATTTCACACGTGTGGGAATCACATTTATGGAAATGGCTTCAGCAGTAATGATGGGCTACCTGTAACATAGCTGGCTGGATAGCTCAGTGGTTTAGATATCTGCCTGTGGAGTCAGAGGTTGAGAGTTTGATTCCACACTGTGCTTCTGCAAGTAGAGCCATCCTGTGTGGCCTCGGGCAAGCTGCACAGTTCCAGTGTGCCCCCAGAAGAAGGGAATGGTAAACCACTTCAGGGTTTTCTCTACCTTGAAAACCCTGAAAAGGGTTGCCATAAGTCAGAACTGACTTGATGGCACATGATAATTACTATTATTACCTGTAACATATAGTTTGTCCCTCCTGCATATAGCCGAAGCAGTCAGCTAGACACATTGAGACCTATAACATATAGTTTGTCCCTCCTGCATACAGCCGAAGCAGTCAGCTAGACACATTGAGAATTACAAGTAATTTGCAATTTTTTGGAGATGCAATGAAAAACATCAAAAATATTTGCATCATGGAAGAGTTTTCTGAAGTTTAAGACTCTTGGCATTGTAAATGTGGTTTGCTGATGAATGACAATAACTGGAACAAAGGCATTTGGATGGCATTTTTGATGTTGTTTAGTGGACACACTTTAAAAAAACTGAATTAACAGTTTTTCATTGGCTGAACAGGGATTTTCATACTTACTGAAGTTATGTGCAACTTTTTGGTTTAACATAATGTGTTGTGTCCTGAGAGGTTCATTAACAGGAAATCCCATCCCATCCTGAATAAGAAACTGGTCATCAAGTCTAGCCACATCTAGCAGTTTCTTCCCCGAATTATTTGATGTCCAGAGTGATTTCTGTATCTAGGAATACAAAGACAGCAAGCATGTGCATGTGTATAAATGTGGACAACTTTTAAAGTATCAAACAGGACTTCCAACAAATCTCTTGTGAATTCTGGAAAAATGGTGCTCATCGCTTATAGCATATATTTATCAGAGTAACTAGCAAAACAGAAGAATTAAATTACTGTAACAGAATGTTTCAGCTTCTACCTCCTTGATTCAAAGCTGCTGAAGAAAGTGGAAACTGAACCATCCTACTATGGTATTTTACTATTTTTGTTCCTCTAAAAGGTTTTGCATTTACGTACATTTACATTGGTCAAAATCTTGTTGCTTGGTGTAGTAAATTGCACTAGTGGAGGACCATTAAATCTGTGGAGATCTTCGCAGTCAAATCCTCTATATGTTCCATTGACTCAAATGGGTCAACTCTAACTGCATCATACTGTAACATAGTAAGTCACAGTTAAAATAGGCTCATTTGAATCAATGAAACTTACAAAGGAGTTAACTCACTAAATTGGTACTTATTCTGTGGGTGTACTCTAGTGCAAGTTACTATGCTGAGCAACAGGATTTTGGCCATAAAGTGTGTTTTGGCATAAATATGATTAGGATTATGAGATTTGCCATACTTTTATATACTTTGGGGTTATTATTGCATTTCCCCCTCTCAGACCTTTTCTTGGGGAACGACGTTCCAATAAAAAGCTTTTGTTCTGGTTGATCTTGGGGTCTGGTTGAGAGACTTGAAAGAAGGAGGTGGAATCTTTATGTCCGGCATTATGACAGGAAGAGGAACAGATCCTGAAACAAAAGAGCAACTTTGTGGAGGAGCTGCTGAGACTGCAAGGGACCTCAAAGGGAGATGAGGATATTCTTCCACTTTCTCTTCATTTAAATCACGAAGGACTTCATTTGCAGCTCCCAACACATCCTCCTTCCTCACAGATCCTTCTTCCGGCAGTGAACAATATCTGTCTAGGAGTACTATCCACTCATTCTGGAGCTTGCTAATGTCCTCTAGTTTATTGTTCTGGACAGTAAAGGGTATTTGAAACCTACAATTGAAAAAAGGAGGTGTGTGAAGTCAAAACAGTGTACTGTACATGAAACGCTAACAAAAAAAACTCACAACTATTTCAGTTCTGGGCTCCACTGATATTAGACAGCTTCACTTGCTAAAATAGACAGTCATGCTCACTTTGACCATTTCACGTTGAGTTAATTGCTTGGACTATTGAGAAAAGCCTGCTGATCTCTCTCTTTTTCTCTATCTGTCTCCCTCCCTCTCTCCATAAATGTAGACATTTATCCCCACCCACATACACAGAAAGAGATTAATAATTTCCTCATAATTTTGTGCCCTTCATATAAAGATACACTGATTGAAATCAAGCAGTGTAATGTACACTGTGGAAGCCTAATGACATCTATAGCTGCAGCAGTTTTTCAAAAATTAAAAATTTCTGATTCCCCCTGTCCAAAGGTCTTGAGGCTCCCCTGGAATTCATTTCCCTGTGAGCAAGCTGTTGAGGGTCAGGGCAGGGGCATCTTTAATGTATGAAAATCACCACCATGAGGATGATTTTAGCTGCAGTGGTGATTTTTGGAAATTAAAGACTGCCCCGCCAGAAGCTTTTCCATGAGCGAAGAGATTCCACAGAAACCTCCAGACCTTTTCTGTGGGGGAGGGGTTTGATTAGAAACTATTAATTTCTGAAAAACCATAATAGCTGCTGATGCCATCAGCCTTATATGGCATAAGTTAAACTGCTGGATTTCAGCATTTGTCTCCAGACAACAGCCTCTCAACTCAAGCTACAGGACTATTAATCTTTTTTTCCCCCACACTAGAAGACCATATTTGTCGTCTATGACTAAAGACATATGAGTAGTTTTCTGCTCTGCTGGGCTGAGAAACATAAAGTTGGCCAGAAAACAGACCTGAAATATGTTCAGCTAGAGAACATAGTTGGGTACCTCAATGCAGAGCCAGAGATTACAAGTTTGATTTCCATTGGAAAAGTTCACCAGAAGTTGGAATTGACTTGACAGCACGTAATTTTTAATTAATTAATTAATTAATTAATTAATTAATTGAGGGAAAGGATTTTTGAATATGTCCTAGCGCTTTTTCCTCAACACTCAGTGACTTCAGGTAGAAGCTGTAAATCTGGTGTACATGAATCCTTTTCTTGAACCTTATCAGCCCTTATTTTAGACAGAGCTTGAAAACGATGAGTTACCGTACAGTGGTGCCTCGCTTAACGAGCGCACCGTTTAACAACGAATCCGCATAGCGACACGTTTTTTGCGATCACTAATGCAATCGCATTGCGATGATTCCAATGGGCGAAAATCGCATTGC